TCGTGTGAGAATCTACATGATATAAGACCAAGAAAGTTGATGATTCTATTGAAGAATAGTAAAACGACACAGAAGATATTTTACCCGGTTACACTTGTATTTCTCCATTTTAATATACGCGTGTACACTATACTTGGATCATGGATACTCCGTTCTTCTTCTTATTATTATCATTTTATCTGCTCTTATACTTTTTGATACAAACTAAACAGATTGACTTTATTCTTTAAGCAAAAATTACAATTTCATGATCCCATATTTTCTCGAAAATCATTTATGTATGTATATATTCACCCTTACTTACTTAAATAGTAGTCGTTCAAACATTTTTCCCTTACTAATTAATGAGTAGTTGATATTGGCGATATTTCAAAGCACATTGTCAATAAATTATAATTCAATTAATTCATCAGTTTTTAACTTCTTTCAATGTTAGCAAGTAGTTAAGGTTCATGTAGTAACCTTGATTAGTAGATCAATTTTGTGAATGTATTCAAAGATTATGACTGAAGATAAAGCACTGGATACATTCTTTTATAAACTATTTTCCTATTCAGATATAATGGAGGAGATTTGCAGCTCAAGAGAATGATTTTGGTGTAGTGTTCTGTGAGCTGAATGGTTCAGTTGCGAAGATTCCATCGCCTTACTAGGCAATATACTCAGAGCATACTTCTATCCGAAGGGAGACTTTAAATTTCTCCACGAGTTTATGAGTCATCTCTCCTGGTAACCGTAAACGTGATTGATTGCAACACTCAAGTTGGATGGAGTGCATAAACCTACGTCTAACAACGTGTTTTCTATTCAACTGCCAAATACAGGAATAAATTAAAGGGAACCTACGGGACTGTCAATATCAGGTTTGATTGCAGAAGCTGTAGTGCAAAGACTTGAAAACATAATCCTACTAAAGATCAAACCTGGAATTTAGATAATTTACGTGGATGACACATTCGTGGTAATCAGAAGAAAGGAACTGGAAAAAACTCACAACTCAATAAACATAATCTTCAACGACATCAAACACACAAGATAAGAGGAATCCGAGGACAAAATGACGTTTCCGGATGTCTTAGTCAAGCGAAAAACCACAGAAACTCAACTCACACAGATCAAATACTCGACTACAACAGCAAAAAAGGAGTGCACACAAATATTGTTCAAGAAACCAGGGCTCATGTCAACACTCCTAACTTGTGGAAAATTCAAGACAAGCACCTTATGGGCGTCTTCTTCAAAGGAGATCCACGAAACTTCATCTAAAGGCACCCTCCTTCAACCCAGCTGAAAAAATCAAAGGCCCCCAATGAAAACACGAAGAAAATTGTCCTAACATGTATAGAGAAATTCCCCGAAATCACCACAAGACCTTTAGGAATTGATACTGGACTTCTGCTGTTTCATCTGAACTGACTGATACAAAGAGACTGATCCCTGTGTCCTGAGAACAGAAGGAGGGGAGAAAGCCGCTCAAGATTTTGAGCAACCACCTCAAACGGCGGTGGATGACAATAGAGAGGAAGAAAGAGGAAAGGCATCGCTAATAGATTTTATATGTCAATTATTTGGGCATATTAGGGAAACTGGCTCTAAAGTGACTATGGTTAGTGCAGTAAACTTTGGGAAGATTGAATCGTCAATAACTTCTCAATAGACATGACTGGACAGATCCTCTTAACTTCCTCAATAAGCAGTGTTAGTTGAAGTAGGATTCCGTTGGAAGAGAGTTGGCGATGGTCACACCGAAATACAGCACTAATCCATGAAGTCTTCGGCTGATGGTTTCAGCTGCAAAGGGGAGTGTGGACTGCCTCGCTAGAGTCCCCTAAGTGTTTAGAACCAATGATTGAAGACTCGGTCACATGGCTAAGAATCACTCTGAATGGCGTAGGAACACGACGTCTTCTACTGATCCAGATTTTGAAAATCCTCAGTAATCTTCATTTAACTGTTCTGTCTCCCACACACTATTGTCTACTCTAATTTCATCACATTTTTTCCTGTACTTCTATTCGCGCTTTTTCGAAGTACAACAACTTGAACTGTTGCACTTTTGTGAGAGCGAGGTTTCACGTTGGAAAACCACTCAGTCAGTTGTTTCACATAGAAGATAATTATTGTTTGGAACAAAAAGTTAAGTTAAACGTGTGCATTTAAAAGCTGACATTCCCTAGTCTAGTCTTTGAACTTTGTGATATTCACGTGTTTAATTCCTAACTGGAAAGCATTATGACTCCCTATATTATTACACGATTGAGTAGTCAATAGTTTACGATACTGCTTCACATGCTTTTTAATCTAATTTGTATACTTGTATTATATGTGTACACAGACCGATTTTATATGTACTTCACAAACATTTGTCAATTTCCTATGAACATTACGTTGACACAATTTTAAAAATTTGACTACGGCTATAATACACGATCGTACTCTTCGCAAGTGCCTTTTGGTTTTACGTTGTAGCCGTCGAGTAGCCACAACGTCTATGCACATTAATAAACTTGAAGAAGTACTAGGAAATACGTGTACGCTGATTTAGTCAATAACGCACGCAACAGTTTACTGACTGATACTTACATAATCGGTGACTATTGAATGTGAAATAGGAATCTGGGTCGCAACAGGATTCAGACCAGAAGCCTCCGGCGCCCTACCGAGTGAGCTACAAAACCCATCTGATAACCAACTTGCCAGTTCAATGCAACCATCGCGGATAAATTCCAGCTGTAATACAAGTACTAAGTACACACAAGTAACTCTTAGAGACTGTTAGTGGGAATTTCGCTGTAACTCAAAACTACTTCCCTACTTGAATAATCATTGTCATTGGTTAATGAAATCATTTTCTTCTACCTACATTAATGATACTTCCTGACACAAACTGACATCGATTCAATCCACTCTGCCGTTATTATTTATATTCTCTGCAATTTTTGAATATCTCACAAGGATAACTGTCACAACGTTGAACAGATGTATTTTAATACATATTTTGCTTCAAAACAGACTGATCACATTGTACGACCTCCTCACATATTATTGTTTACGGACTGTTTTCATATTCAGTACGAGGATAAATGGACTACTTATACATGAATTTCAGTTACTATGCAGTTGATAAAATAATGGTATCCTGAAAATATTTTCTGTTCAGACACCACTATGACTTGAAAATCTTCTCATGCTAGTACTGCCTACTCGTGAGTAGTTAAGCGACAGCGTTAGAAAAGCTAGTATAGGTTTGGAGATTAGTCTTGGAAGGCAATTTTAGTTTGGGAGGAGATTTGAATCATTCTTATTCGATCCCCGTCGTGACAAAGACTTCCATTGGACTTCCAAAATATAAAGCGAATTCATTTGTTCTTGAAAGCAACAAAGGTATTCATAAGTCTTCAATGACCATTAATTAGGTAAACCAATACTATTATATATAAATGATGATAGACTATTCAAATCACATTCATCCATAAAAACGCATCATATTTGCCATTTCACGCCCTTATAATCATAGCAATCCGTCCTCGAACTGATTTTCATATAGGTTTCACCTTAACGCTATCCATTTTTTGAATGATTCCGAGGGAAACATTGTAGAGTATTGGGACGTGAATCGGATAAAACAGTACTGCTTCAAACGATATATTGTGCATTATCATTTTAATTGGAGACTCATTACGAATATCAGGCATTATGCTGGAATTTCTGCATTCTGTGCATATACATTTTTCAGAGTGAAGCTGTTATTATTATCATCATTATTAGCTTGGCAGCATCATTTCAACTTCATACAGGCGGCATAGATGAAGGTGTCGAAATCGGGTTCGGAGAAGTAAGACAAGCATGTTGAAATCTGCTCGTCAGAATAGGGCAGATAGATAGATCCACATTTACAACACAAAGGTGAAGTCACTGTTTCAATATACTTCAAAGATTTGACTCGCGTGCCACCTAAAGAGCATCTCAACAGGCTACTGCAAATTTCCATCAACGGTTGCCTTCACTCGATACGGAAGATTAAATGAATAGCCAGAAGGCATAGGCGGCAAGGACCTCAGGCAAGCAACGAATCACTCAATAACCAATTGCCTAACAAATGTGCAGAAGGAAATATTTATGGGTCGGACACACGATGTGGAGACCATAGGGTGACATTACACACTAGGCTCTAAAGTGGAACCCAAATGAGAAGAGACAGCTTTACTTTGCATAGGTGACATGAACAAGAACGTGTGAAGGGAAAATGAATGCCTATGGGCAGTCTTGCATACAGATAAAAAGCCAGAGGGAAGAGAGTAAGGTGGCGACGTGTTGTTGGAACCCCATGTTCCAATGAGAATGCAAGGAAGGATAATGATAATAGTAACAATAGCAAATCGTAGTTGAGACAAAATGAATAATTTAGCTCCACACCTAAAATCACAACATATAATGCCATTTATACGAAAAACTTCATTACAAGCTAATTTAGAACTTGCTCGTACCTTATACGAGGGGTGTTAGCTGATTTCCAGTTGTCTTTCCCTATTACATATACCGATCCAAGTGAATTTCCCCACAATAAGAATAAATAATAAGGAAAACACTTGAAGAGGAAACATTAATTTTCTTTATTCTAATTGACTACGGGAAGTGATTTCGCACTTGTGAAGGAGGAAACTGGTCAAGATAAAATATATTCAAGCGAAAAACTACCAGAATGATAGACTTGATAGTGGTCATTACAATGATGAAGAAACAGGTAGGTTGAATAAAGTTGAAGGTGGTGAAAACATCAAAATATGAATACGTGGAAGAAAGAATATGACAAGAGGGGAGGGAGCAAGAGAAAAGAGATATGAAAACACAGAGGCAATTAGATAAAGTGATGCAATGGGGCTAAATTACCAATGTCTTGTCTTATGCATGTGAAAGGCACATATAGATTATATGATGACGAATATGATGCACAGGACTATCATACTTTATTTCTATTCATTTGTTCGCCTTTTTCTCTTTTATATTGGAGTTTGAGTATTCTTCGCCAAAACTTCTTCTTGGAAGTGCTTTTTACAATACAGCACTCGGTCACTTTGATTATAATTATTCAAACTAAAATTTCATTAAATAGAAGAGAAACAGAAAATTAATAATTAAAAATAATATTCCAGGTTTATCAGTATTTTGTCACAAACAATTTCTAGCAAATCTTCAAGTCAGTCGATAAATTAGAAACCAGGTTTCAGGAGGCAGATATTTTTATATTATCTTCAAACTTTCCTCAAGTATGTCCATCAAGACACTATCTTTCTTCTTTTAGTATTGGTAAATGGAAAATCAGATTATTATTAATTAACATAATTAATAGTGTACTCTACAATTAGTGCTACAAGGCATTATTGCGCGTCGGTGGCTCAGTGGTTAGGATTTTCGCCGACTATGCACATGGTCCGAGGTTCGATCCCTTGCCGACGCACACCTGATATCTATGGTCGGCCTGCAAAATTTGGGCTACCGATATCCATGCTGAAAATTCCATACTTGTAACAAAAAATACAGTGTGGAATCAAACTGTAATCAAAAATAAAATAAATAAAAAATTATGCCTACAATAACTAGACATATATCTATGTGTCAGCTGTAAGACGCAAAACTGTGTACATGTGTGTACTACTACTGTCTGCGAATGTGTCAATCAGATTAGAAATAACAACAACTGGCACCATCACAACCAATAATTTTGTTTGAAATAACACCACTGCTCATTACAAAATACATTTCTAATAATTAGAAATCAATCTATATTTGTCAAACAGATGAAAGTCTGAATCATGCTGTCTCACAGTTAATGTCAGTTGCTGTTCAGCGTTTTGTAGGGATTTTAATTAACTTCAGTGTAGATTACACCACGAACCGAAATCCGTCAAAGAATCACTGGAAACCAAGGTGTACATGACAGCCGTTTCCTCTTAGGTTGGCATTCCCCAGGAACGCGCACCCAGTACCCCACCAAGGATCGCAAAATGACCTAATGTGAAGTCTTGACCGAAGTGGGGCATCACATCAAATGTGAAGCTGTTGTTCATCTATGGTATTGGTTGATAACAGTGTTATATCACAAATTGACAGAAGTAAGAAGTCACCGTAGCTAAGTATTCAGTCGGTTGGCATCTTAACTTGATAATCCTGGGTTTGATCCTTGACGGGGTCGTCTGTGCTCACTGATGAGGAGTCCTAGAATAAAACAAGACGGTTATACTTGAGTAGTGTGGAAAAGTATAGTTCCATTATGGATAAAATCGTATTTTTATAAAGTCACACAGTGTCTGTTATACAGTAATATTTACTGATGTTTCGAGCACAATTTATTGTTCATAATCATAAAAAGGTACTCACATAACTTTATTGCTTCGTTTATATACTCGAGTAAAAATTGATAACACTAATGTCTAATGTTTAACTCTGTTCATACAGGAAGACGACTGTCTAGAACTCTTTGATTTTTAATGACTCTTCAAGTGATTTTGGTTCGTGAATCAAATTCACATTGATGTGATCATCAACTGCACAGATGGTTGTTTATCTATGGCTAGAGAGTGAAAACTTCTTATTCATTAAAGCAAACAACAGTTGTTGAGCCTCTGTAGTAATATCAGTAAAGTGATTGAATTCAGACAACACGCAATGAATGACACGAAACTTATTCTTTAATTTCAACTGTTATCTTATTTCGAATGTTGCAGTTACAATGACCACTTCGCTACTACGGGGTGCCATCGACAATTATACATCTCATCCAACAGTTATACGACAATGCTGAATGCAAGTAATCCACAACTGGAAACTTACGGAAGCCTTCGAAGTGAGGAAGGGAGTGAATCAAGGCTGTCTACTATCGCCAATGATCTTCCCTATTGCAGTAGATTGGATAACGCGACAGACAACGGGCAATGAGGAAACAGGCATAAAATCGACTCACACAAAAAGAGAACTTGGAGGATCTGAACTTCGCCGATGATATGTCTGATTTCCAACAAACTTGAAGATATGCAAGTGAAAAGCAACAAGTTGGCAGAAGAAGCATCAAACACAGGACTTCAGGTGAACACAGATAAAACAGAGGTGATGAAGATTCCTGGTCAACATCAGCAACAACAACAGACAACAATCAGCCAGCATAAATGGGAGGAACCTGAAAGAAACAACCTCCTTCACCTACCTACCTGGGAAGCATCGTTTTAACTACAGGCTGACGGAACTGATGAGATAACAAAGCAAGAGTCAGAAAAGCAAGACAAGCTTTCATTACTCTCAAGTTTGTGTAAAGGTCAACAGCACTCACCATCAAAAATAAGATCCGGATTTTCAACTCCAATGTGAAGTCAGTCAGTGCTACTATACGGATCAGAGACTTGGCCAGCGCGTCATAAAGAGAATCTCAAACAAACTACAGACCTTCATCAACAGTTGTCTTCGCTCAATACTCAAGATCAGATGGCCAACCAGAAAAGATCAGAAACAGGGATCTCTGGCAATGAGTGAACCAACCAGGAACCGACTGTGAAACAAATAGGCAGGAAGAAATGGAGGTGGATTGGTCATACTCTGAGGAAACAGACGATCAAGTGACATCACTAGACAAGCCATTGCTCGAGTGGAACCCGAAAGGGAAGCGGCGGGTTGGTCGTCAGTGTGAGGGTGACTTGGAGGAGGTCATGTGAAGAGGAGATGAAAGCGTGTGGGCAGACTTGGAGTGGGGTGAAAAAGTTGGCAGAGAACAGAAGGCAATGGAGATGCGCAGCTGAAGCCCTATGTTCCTCTAGGAATTAAAGGATATAATAATAATAGTTACTATGAGCTTATTGATAACCAATACGGACAAATAAAACAGTTTCTACTAATGATGAATGCATGCATATCTATATAAGTGACAAACTGCATACTGAGCGCAATTTAACAAGCAGTTATATTATCGAAACAAACAGTATGAATTGATTAAGTAACCAGATGTATGAACCATACAATATAATTAAAACACTGAAAGCAAAGCCCTCAACAGGAACTTTACACCAGGTGGTATCTAATTATTACACCTGTTATTTCATTTCAAAGTTTAATGAATTTACTTTAGGCAATAAAAAACTACTTTAATATCAAAGATCGAATCCACCCAAGTAACTAACTAACTAATACAAGTGAAGAAAGACCAATTCCTTGTATTTGTCAAAAAGAGAACATAACGAAATCAGAACAACTGGATTGAATTATCATACTTATTCGAAAAATATCATCATCTGTACACATCAGACGTCGTACTTCCAAATTATGCTCTATAAGGATAATTATAGTGTTCTCTAGAATGACACAGAATTCTATACTCACAGCCAAAATGTTCTTATTCTTTGAGTTCTGAGTGAAAAATAGGGGAACTTAAGCTTCAAAGTCTTAGTAATGGTTGTGCTGTTTTTACAAGGTGGAGTTGCTAGCTTCGCACCCAATCCACCAAACACCCACCCACTTTCCTGGACTTACTACCAGCTAGGTGAGCGTTAAGGAGTGAGTCAGTTAGGAATCAAACCTGAGCCTCACGAGTCGCTGGTGACCATTCTTTTATTTAAACACTGACGCTAGAGTCATTATTACTTCAGCTTAATGCTCTTAGTGGTAATTGTTGGTACTTAGTTGTAGTATTCAAGATTGTGTTCTCTTTCATAAGTTATCAATAACAACAAGAAGTTATTGCATGCTGATTTAGGTTAATAGTGGAAGACTTTATGTAAATTAATGATTAAAGTCAATAATACCTAGCATTGTGGCTGGAATATCACTACGTAAAACTAAAGGTTTCAGGTAAATCTGCATAATAAAAGGAACGGAATTTGTGATAAAGGTGTTCTAAGGGTTATTTTTGACGCCATTAGAAGTAATTAATGACAACTAATGCCATGCAATAATATTGTTGTTTGTATATCATAACACTTGTGTTACAGCGACAAAGGTACTATTTCAGCAGGAAAATTCCATTAAATGAAAACTGAAAGCATGTATCTAACATTCTCATACAAGTTGCAGACTTTCATAAACGGTTTCCCTCTGCGAATCGATACTGAAGATTAGATGGCGGACCGGAATCGATAAGCAACAATAAACTCTGGGAACGAACCAACCAACCACCCAATTCTATAACAAATATGGAGAAGGAAAAGGATATGGATTGGACATACCCTGAGAAGACTATACAGTGACATCATGCACCAGGCCTTCGAATGCGAAATGAAGAGTCTGGTGTCCGAGGATGACACAGAGGAGATCATGTGAGGAGGAAATGGTTAACCACGGAATCTAGCCAAGAAAGTTTGCAGAGAACACAGTAAAATGGTCATGTTGCAGCTGAAGTCCTACGCTCCACTAGGAACTCAAGAGACGAATAGTATTCTTTCATGATCCAGACTGTCAGCTATCGTTAATGTCTAAATGTAACATTTTACGCTTATCAGACTACAAATCGCTTCACAAATAGACTGATGATAGCAATTGACAGCAAAAATGCACTTTGAAGTCGCCTAAAGAAGAGCCAATAGTGGAATTCGAGACACATTTTTTCTTGTTCAAAACTCATCTACTGGATATGCCTGCATTTCAGTGAGTGATGGTATTCCTACTGAGATTCGAACTCACCATCTGTTCCATGTGCCAAAGCGTTATCCGATAGGCTACTGAGCCACAAAAGCCATCCCCACGTGCTACGGTTATCAGCTGTTATTTTAATATTTATTTTATTCCTCTACGTTCCGAGTGGGGTACAGAGCTTTGCAGTGGTTTTATTTTTACGGCGCAGGAGTGCTAGCCTCACACTGGCTAAGCAAGGGTTAGGAGTGTGCCGGTCGGCAACCGAACCTCGGACCACGTAGGTGGTGTTCATGTGATTTATTGAAATTATTTTGGATTTCCCATTGATTGATTAGAGGATAAGCTCAGATGACAAGTACCAAACATAACAAAACGCGCAACCTTGATTCTCTTGTATTCACACTCCTCCATCGACTAAATAAGAGCGTGTTAATTTCAAGGAAATGTTGGAAGGTCAGTATAGAAGTCAAGACATATCGAGT